AGTCGTGCTCCTCGGTTGCATGTTGCCCGAGACCACCTCTACGCAGCCTATCCGCTTGAGTCGTGCTCCTCGGCTGCATGTTGCCCGAGACCACCTCTGCGCGGCTTGCCCGCTTGAGTCGTGCTGCTCGGGTGCGTGTTGCCCGAGACCACCTTTGCTCGGCTTGCCCGACTGAGTCGTGCTCCTCGGTTGCATGTTGCCCGAGACCACCGCTGTGCGGCCAGTCCTCCTTGATTGCTAAACTCTACGATTCCTACAACGGACTAGCTACCGACCGGCAGGGACAATTTCTTAAAGCTGAAGCCATGCCTCGGACCCCCCTAACAACAACCGACGCATAACTTCCTTCGGGGGGGGGGGGGAATATGATGAGGGCAATAATGGCAACAGGATGCGGGTTAACGTCAACTGTGCCCGGATGACGCCTCGCGCCTCGGTTGACCTGACAGCGCTTGGCCAAAATAGATTGGAATGCCGACCGAGGCACATTAACATCCTGCGCGAGCCCGGTCCTTCACGCCATGCCAACACCGGTGTCAAACGCTACCAGGAGTACGATCCTGCTTCCTGCAAGCGGGCACATTAGGCAACGGTAACCTTCCCTATAAAAACCCTTGTGCTCAGAAAGAGGGGAAGGAGAAAAAATAAAGACAAAAACCCCCTATGACTATCAACTGACTTGATCGTCAGAGGGGTCAGGTCGAGCCTCCCGACCCGACCTATGTGCAGGGACGAAGACGGAGCCCCTCCCACCGCGTGCCCAGGCGAGGAGTTCCCTTCCAAAGGAAACAGCTGTCTCGTTGCGATCGGACCACCACAGTCGACCACCTCAACAGTCTCAAGGATCGCTCAGGAAGATCCCCAATCATTCGGACCCGAACCCAGTCGTGCTGGCCCGAGGCCACGGCTTAAGGTTGTTGACACCAACACTACAAACAGTAGTATTTATCAATATAGATTTTCTAATCGTGGTGAGTTTGAACCGACTTGATTCTTCTTTTGAAAAAAATTTCTTTTGTTCCTATGCAAAGTTAGAGAGAAGGTTTGGCTAATTTTTTTGACTTAGAGAGAAGGTTTGACTAATTTTTTTGTTCCTATGCAACAGATGTTATGAGCAAAGTTGTGCTAAGGGCATATGTTTGACGAGACTCTTTCCATGTTGAAGATCAAGAAGAGAAAAATAGTAAATATGGAAGAGATAATCTATTTGCATTATAGAAATAGAAAACTCTATTTATCGTGTTAAAATATCATATTTGATTAAAAAGATATTTCCATTAGAACTTGATGCTTACGTCATAAGCCTATTATGATATGGAATCCGACCAACTACAGTCCACATGTTTGGTTTCGATTGGTGGAAAAAAAAATATATATATCATATCGATATTCTGAATAAAATCCATATGTTCGGTATCGATTGGTGAAAAATATTTGTCTTATCAATATTCCAATCTAAATCGACACAAGAGTAGGAGGAATTAGAGAAAAGTCTCCCACTGACTACTCTTTCCATAGATGTCGTCGATCCATGAATCTTCATCAATGTTGCCAAACAAAAGGAAGATGAAGAAGGGAAGCGGTGAGGACCGCATCAGAGACTAGTTTTTGAGGTGATTAAGTTGGAGTTGTGGTTGACTAGCAAAGACTTGAGAAAGTGAAAGTTGATTTGGACACAACGAAGAAGAAATGGTCCTCAAAATTGTTAATCATAGCGGCCTCTACTTTTGGAGATGCGATTTCGGAACCATATGTCAGCTTGATGAAAGCGAAAGCATTGACATAAGGGTGATCGAAGCCATTAATGAGCTATCTAAAATAAGCTTCTCATGACATCTGTAACGCTGGAAGATCAACTGTTACATCCATCTGCAACCACAACTGTTTGACTCCTAGCTTTGATGGTCCTCCACTCTTATTAGTGTAGAGAAGCCAACCAAGTTCAATACCAATTTGGTTGCAAGGTCGATGCTGAAAGACCAGTGGATTCAGTTGAATAACATATAAAACTATATCGGGGATAGATTCGATAAATATCTTTTTAACGCTTAAATTAAAAGCACGAAGAAAAATACTATTTTAAAATAGGAAAAAAATCCCCATTAACTAACATGATTGGACACTTTTTTTTTATATATATATAGGATTCGTGTAACTATTGGCATTTAGTGTTGAGTTACTTTATGGGAGTGGTTTCGCAGAGTTATCAAACTTAACTCGAATGCGAGGAGTCATTTGAAATATCGGGCATCGTGGACAATGGCATGTTATAGACAAATTATGCTGACTAAACATCCAATTCAGAATGTCAAGCTAATGGTGACATACTTCCCATATCATTTGCCCATTTTGATATATGTGACATACTTCCCATATGATTTGTGCATCGCGATAAACATCAAGATCATCAAGTAAAAGAATAGATTGGTGGTGATCTCAAATTCAAATACCTAGGAACTCTTTTGAGTAAACAAATTGGAACCAGAGGGCATAAAGTGGCAGTGAGAGCCTAAAAATCTATTTGGAGAACCAATGTGCATCACATTAATACATATATATATATTGGTGGAGGGAAAAAGATGAGTCCCATAGCACAAGCAACATCTAATCTAATCTGCAGAAAAGAATCCATGCTTTCTGGGAGTAGATGTAGGTTAGTGGACCTTTTTGGATGCAGTAAAGAAAGAAGGAGGGGTGCATCAAAGCAAAGCATGCCCATACTGTGTTTCACATTCTCCCAGCCTCTTTTCTCTGACATTAAGGTGTGTGTGGGACTCAGCTTATTATAGTAGCACTTCTTTTGTCTATGAGAGAGAGAGAGAGAGAGAGAGATTGCATATGCTAATGTGATGCCATGGAATCATCACAACGACCAAAGAACAAGTAGGTCAACTGTTGATTTCGAACTAAATGAAATGTCTCACAATCAAACCAAAGTTACAAACAAGTCATGTTAACTAAAGGTTCAATTTTTGAACTAAGTTATGAACACAACTATGACATAAGAAACATTTGCAACTGTGTAAACATATTCCGAAACAACAAAAGAAGATGCATGAAAAGAAGAATAAGGCTTATCCCTTCACAATTAAGCAAGTGTTCATAACTTGATGCATGGTGGGTCTGAGTTTGATCCTTTTTGCCAATCAATATTTTTCTTGTATCTGACTTGTGTTTGATTCCTTTTGTCAACCAATCATGTTGTCGCATAGTCACTTTGATGTGGAAATGTATCCAACTTCTTATACTTCAGAGCAATGTATATGATACCGCGACAATTGTTTCTAAAAATAAGGAAAATATTATTCAAGAATTTTGATGGCATTATATCTCGTATTTCTTAAACTTACGTGATATTCACGCTTTTTCTTTCAATGGATCGTTTTCTTAGTTCAAAGATTATTTTCTCCAATATTAAACCAAGAACAAGAAGATGGAAAAATTAGTCTTTTCCAGTGATGTTGTGATATAGATTGTTAGTGTTTTTATCTCATAAATAAGGTTAAGGTTTCAGATGAAATAACATTAATGGAAAATTAAGATGGTATCAGAGTAGAAGATCATGTCCAAATCTTTTTCAAGCCATACATATGAAGAAAATAATTTTCAATTGACTCAAGTTTCACATATTTGTCAGCAATTCTTAGTTATCTTGAATACATATATAAATATATATAAATATATATGTATAAATATATATATTTATATATATATATATGTATACATATATATATATAAATATATATACATATATATATATACATATATATAACGATAAAATAAATCTTTTCCAACCAGCTAAAAAGTAAACCGAAAAGATCAAGAAGTAGATAAATGGTAAAAAAAAAAGAAGCTTTTATAGCTTTGTATAATCTTATAAATAAGAATAAAAGAAGCTACAAATGGCATTATGTTTTTTTTACCTTTTGTATCATCTATGTATGTATGTTGCAACTCGAAAACATGGAGTAAAACTAACTTCAATATATGCATTATCCAACCAAATATAATGAAGTATTATATATGGCATATTAAAGATTTCATGTATTGAGAATAGAGAGAGAGAGAGAGAGAGAGAGAGAGAGAGAGAGAGAGAGCGAGCATTGGTGGTATAATTACCATCTCCTGCAGGTGTTTTTTGTGGGAAAGCCTTGGGATCGAAGGCTTATAATGGCAGAGGAGGTGTAATCATCCCCCTGTGATTGCCAGCGAGAGTAACATCATATGAAGGGAGGGGGAAGAAAAAGGAAGGAAAAGAGAGCGAAAGGACTGGACCTGGAGAGAGACGGGAGATGATCTCTTTCCTCTTCTCTTTCGATGCAAAAAAGATGATCTCTCATCTTTAATTTCGGAACTGTAGAAAGTCCTACGGATACACACCCGAGGAGAGAAGAAGCCCTTTCGACTCCCCCCTCCCTCCCTCCACCATCAGCGCCTTCGAAAGATGCATGGGTTTTACAGCAAAAGAAAGAGAGGAAAGCCAGTGAAAAAGTAGGGAAAGTGAAGTAGATTTATATGCACCAGCTGCTCCAACGTTTCTTTGGGTCGAGGAGAAGAAGAAGAAGAAGAAGGAGCCTTTCTCTTCTCTCTTCTTGGGACTCTCAAGGCTTTTGACACACCATCATGAGGTCTTCACCTCTGGATCACTACCACCAAGAAGGCCTCAATGGCTGCTCCTCTTTAGCAGCAGCTCCAGCTTTCTACGACCACGCTATCCACCGTGAGTGGAATCAACACCAGATGTTGTAAGTTTCTTCGTACTCTTCATGTTCTTCCACAGCTTCTACGTGTAACACATTAATTGGAGTCAGAATTCACTTTATCTAATTCCTAGTATTTGGAATTTTCTTGCTTTCTTTGTTTGCTACTTCTATTTCCACTTTTAGATCCTCGCTAGGGATTTGAAACCTATACATATACATACCTTGCATTATATATGAGGATTTGCTTCATTGTTGTCATTGGCTTTGTGCAGGAACTATGATTATGACTTCATTTCAGATGCCAGTGGAGTACCACCTACCCAAACGATTCAAGACCTAGGGTTTCACTGGGCTGTCAATGGTGAAGGGGGTTCTATGAACCAGCTGCCAGCTCACCAGAACTCTTGTCCGAAGCTTAATGAGTTCAACATGGATGGCTCTTCTAATGAAGACTGCCAACTACAGGAGAAGCTCTTCGTAAGAAGCATAGCTTCAGATTGCCAGACTGATCTCCTTCAACCTCTGCCGGGAAACCTGTCTGAAACTTCGAGGTTTGATAGCTCTCGTGGCAGTGGTCGAGGGATTATCAACATGGCTTTTTCGACTTCTGGTTTGTCACACTCGAGCCAGAATCCGCCATTACCCTCTGCAGGTTACTTAGACATGGATCTTCATGCACTGCATCTATTGGCTTCAGCTAGATTCGGAAGGAGCTTTTGCCCACCTTCGTTCACCAGTATGGCGTCCTCCGGGGTTGACCATCTTCCAGAATCAATTCAAGGGCCATTCCACCACCATCACAAGGTGGGTTCATTTGTTCTTCCAATCTAAACAAGAAAATACTGGGCCTTTTTCCTCCAAAATGAGGAGTTAATTAGATGATCATCCATCTTGATGTTTCTGTGTAAGAGATCCTAAGTTGCACCAGAGAGATCTCAGGTCTATCATGTTGTTTTCTTTGCCTATTACTATTCCAAGGTCCTACACTGATACAACATACACCCAGTAGGCAGCTCTTTTCAGCTTTAGTGAATGACATGAATCATCTTTTTCGAAAGGAAGTTGCAGAAAAGAACAAGAAAGTAGATCAATGTGCCTTTTTTAGGGTTCCGTATACATCAGTCAAGCTAACACATGAACGTTGCTTTACCTGTTGCTCCTTTGAAGATGCCACCTTTGGTCAGTGGAGGAACAGAAGCCAAGGGATCCAACAGCAGTTGGGAGCACGAGTCACCCCTGTCAACCATGCCCAGAAAACCTCGGGTTGAGCAGCGTTCTTCCTTCTCTCCTTTCAAGGTATATATTAGTGCTTTGAGTTCCTGAAGCACAAATCATCCCTAACCTGAGCTTGTTTCTGTCTATTTCTCTAAATTATTTTGCTAGCATTGAGATTACAGAAAATAAAACTAAAATATGTGTATAAATATTATAAGGTGAGGAAGGAGAAACTTGGCGATAGGATTGCAGCACTGCAGCAGCTGGTGGCTCCATTTGGGAAGGTAATCAAAAACCTCATAACAATTCCTATTCCACAAATGTTTAGATACGTTCTTGTGTGCAATTCTTTGGTCTTTACTTTTTCTTCAACTTGTGATGATACATATTTACAAAAGGAAATGTGTATTAAAAGGGAACAAAATGGCAGACAACGAGTATTTTGTTCATTTTTTTGACAAAAAAAAAAAATCATATTTTATTCAGTAGTCAATCCAATTTTTGACAAAATAATAATAATAATAATTAACTGCATTATAGATGTCTACGATCTGATAGGAGGAAATCAAAGCAAAGTGTTTTTATATAATTACAAAAGATCATATTTCTATGTATCCATGATACAAATGTCACTATAAGAAAAAAAATTAATATTATGTAAAATAATTTAAGGACTATTATTATATTTTATTTGAAATCACTTGCTTTGATAATTATACTATAAAAAAAATTATGCTTCTATTTCAGCTTGCTTGCAAAATATATTAGGATGTTTACATTATCTATCACAATCTGATTTGGTCATTTTATTGAGCCTAAACCACTAACCTAAAATGCTTAGAACTCAATCTAAGTCTTAGTTCATTTTTAAATGCGAGACTAAAACTTTTGGTCTTAGCTTTCTCTATTTATATGCTTTGAGTCAATTAGAACTATAGAAACTAACTGCAGGAGGCCTTAAGGAACAAAGGATGGATTGTTTTGCCTATACTTTTGCTGATCTTATGTGCTGCTCATAACATGTGATGCCATGCATACAAGTCTGATTACCTAATCGCACATTACTTTGTTCTTCTTCTAAACTTCATATAACTTCTTGGCATGGCTTACATCGTGTAGACTGATACAGCTTCAGTGCTAATGGAGGCCATTGGGTACATTAAATTTCTTCTGGACCAGGTCGAGGTAACCACCATTATTATAATATGATGAGAAGTTCTTTGACCGCAAACGCATTTTTGTTATGTAGTTATCTCTTAGCGTTAACTTGTACATCTTACAGAAGTTGAGTGTACCATATCTGAGGCCATCTGGGAATAAAAGATCAAGGACATCAATGCAAGAGGTATGTACAAGTATTCTACGTGACATGAAATGTTATCTATCAAAACTAAATGTGCAGTTGACCTATAAACTTATAACTTTGACCTTCCACTTGATCCGGCACAACACACACTGTGTCAATGTTTTCCGTGTCCAATATGTAGGCATCAAATGAGGAGAGTGATGAGCCAGCAAAGAGAGGACTCAGGAGTAGAGGCCTTTGCCTTGTGCCCTTGTCTTACACATCGTACATGACAAGTGAGCATGCAGCTTGGTCACCCAGATGAAGTGTGATGATGATGTGGTTTTGAGCTCCGATGATGAATCTAATTAACAATGTTGTTAATGTCCCATCTTTTTTTCTCGTTCTCTCACTTCTGATGACATAATTTGGTGGAGCAAACTTGTTCAGCTTGTGCGAATGTTCCAAGGTAGAACAAGTTGTTCAATGTTGGATGTCATGCTTTCTAAGTCAAATCTTATTTACACGTCATTTTTCTCATATTTCCGGTCCTTACAATTGGTTGGCTGTGTGCGTGGTAATGGTTGCATGACAATAATTTTATCAAAAAGAAGGTTGAGAAATAATTTGAGAGCAACCTATCAAAAGGTTTCATCAAACATGAGAGACCTTTGCAGATTGTCTAAACCAATAGGCAGGCAATCAATCATATACTTCGATACAACGCATACATCAGAAATCGTGCACGGAGCAGTGATTGATTAATCCGCGGGTATCCTTTTTTTTAACCGCCGGAGTTGGTGGGCCCCGCTCATTGCCCCCACTGGGACCCAAGCTCCCGTTCCAATTAATGGCTCCATTAAATTTGATTGAAAAATCAGGTAACCGACTTATTTGGATGGCTCATACAACCAAATTACAGTGTTATTTATCGATGTCATTGTGCCACATCAAAATGATCGCAAACGTATTATTTACAGAGTAATTTTCCCTTTTCTATGGAAAAAAAAAAATACAAGAATGCGATATTAGATTAGCCTTAATCTCGATTACAGAATCGACAATTTCAGTTCTATCGAGTTTGAACCTGAAATCCAAGCGATTCCAGTTCCACAACTGCAACCATCTATTTCATTTTTTTTATTTCTTATTTTTTTTTAAAAACATCCCTTAAAATATTTGTTTATTAAACGATGAAAAGTGACAGATTCATCATTTAGAAGGATATTTGATCATTTTATTTTTTTTTATTTTTTTTATTTTTCTGACCAGAATTGAACCAGAACCATCAGGTTTATATTTCGAGTAGCGAAACGAAACCGCTAGAATCCGATTCCGATTCAGAACTACAAATTATCGGAACCATGGCTGCTCGACCAAATGTGTTTCCTTTTAAGCAGAAATCAGCAATGCAATTAAATCAGTGGATGACTGCAAGCAGAATGACATCCCACGAAGATAAAACAGAGGCAAGTAAATTCAAAAGCAGAATTCCAATTAATGGCTCCAGTTTTTTGATTGAATGAAAGATCAGGTAATCAACATATTTGGACGGCTCAAACACTGACAGAACCAAATTACGGTATTATTATACATCAATGTTATTGTGCAAAATCAAAACGATCACAAACATATCCATAGTAATTTTTCCTTTTCTATGAAAAAAAAATTTACAAGAACATAATATTAGATGACTGCTCAACAAGAATGTCCTCCCCAATGCAGAAAGCCTTCAGGAGAAATCAGTAACGCAATTAAATCAGTGGACGACTGCAACATTTGTTCCTGCAGGACCACATTCCACCTTCAGATGCCCCAGAGGAACATGTCACAGACCAGATGGCTTATTATCTTGACTGCTGCTGCTTGTCATAAAGGATTCACCACAACCGCACTGCCCTTTTGAGTTTGGGTTGATGAATATGAACTCTGACCTGCAGTAACAATTATCTAAAATGTCATGGTTTATTGAGATGACCTTTCTAGTATACTGCAAAGAATAAATGAAGCTATTATGATTCTTTGGATAAAAGCATACTTTAGTGCATCATCAACAAAATCCATCTTTGTTCCAATTACATGCATAAGAGCTTTTGGATCAACCAGTATCTTCACACCCTTGTCCTCCACCAGCTCATCAAATTTACCTTTTTCATCTGCACAGCAGCACATCAAGGATTAACTAAGCACAACTGAAATGAATCCAGTTGGCAAAACATATGCTATGAACCTGAAGTAAAACAATGTATCCAAGATGGTTGACACCAAATATCTCGCGATAGAATAGCTCTTCTCATCAAAACTTTACCCCATGAAAGTGTTGATATCAAAGAATGAATGATGATTCATGGTTTGCTAAGTAGAATGTTGAGCCCCATCTAAGTGGGTAAATGTCATTAGAGGCAAACATGAGAGCTTGAAATGGTAACCATGACAATCTAGTTAGACTTATGTTTTTCAATCTTTTTCCATCAATTGTGTAGCTGCAGAAGCTGATTAATGTCCAGAAGACTTCGACACCTGCATGCTCATCTACGTCTATGAACTCAACCATTTCAATTAAGGATCAATAACATTTTGGTAACAAAAAATGGTTGTTTTTCTTTTGGTATTATCGACTACAGATTTCAAAGAAAGAATAATCAAATATACAATATGATACAGGAATCCAAAAGAAAGAACTCTCGACCATCAAGAAAATTGAGGAAAACTGAAACCAAGAGCGCCTAATGAAATCATTGGGTAGTTCAAAGCACGTAGCAACAAATTAAAATTCAACAAATCGGAGAAGTAGCCCACGATTTCACTCAAAAAGCCAAAAGGACAAGAGTTGACTATCATCAAATGTAACAAGGTGGGAGAATTTTGAAAGGGAAAAGAAGGGAGAGACCGGACCAGCATAGTTCAAGGTGTAGGATAGACCACTGCAGCCGCGGGCCTTGACCCCGAGACGGAGATAAGCCTGCTGGCGAAGGTTCAGGAGCTGGCGTATCCTTGCGGCCGCGGCATCGGTCAGCGTCAAAGCTTGCTTACGGGCAGCAGTGCCGACCTTCCCCGCCGCAGCCTTCAATGCGGAAGACGCCATCTTCTTCCCCTATTCTCCTCGACAGTCGAGATCTCCCCCCTCGACGCGACGCGATTCAGAAGAACCTATCAAGATCGAGTCGTTCCTAATTATTCTTCACACTTCAAGGATAGATTCATCAATTATCATGAGAAACAAAATCTTCTTACCTATAAACCAAGAACGAGTAATCCACCAGTTGTGCGGACGAACGGAACCCTAACCCCCAACCCCAACGTCGTAGAATCGGGTTTTTCTCTACAAGAGAGCAAAATAGGGATCAATTCTGGGGGCGACGAAAACAGGAGAAAGGACGAGGAGGAGCAAAGAATACAATCGATCGGAAGGAGGAGGCAAATTGATGATACGTGCGAACCTGACGCGCTCAAGATGGCTGAAGTTGAAATGAGGTCGTACAAGTTTGAACTCTTTTGGGGGCACCTCAAACTTCTGATGGGTTAGAAATCGGCGGCTAGGGCTGATCTAGATTCAGCTAACCGCAGTGAGACCGAGAAATGAGAAACCGGACTACTCGAAACCGAAAAATGTTTTTGAGGTCATTTTTGCCTCCCGATGCTGCGCGGTGAGCTGAGAGAGTCATGCTATCCACAATATGTGGGTCGGGTCGGGTCCAGATTTTCTTGATCCGTTTCAACAGAATCGGCCCGATGTTGCGAATAAGGAAATCGGCCGCTTGGGCTTATTTTGAATCCCGTCACCCAAACGTTACGTTAAGGACAATCGAATTTGGACGATTTCATGGCGACAAAAAAAATTTCGAGGTTTTTTTGCCATCAGGATGGTGCGCGATGACGTCACTCGCAAGCCAAAACCTATATATATATACACCTATATGTATATACATAAAGGTATATATATATATATACATATATATATATATATATATACATATATATATATATATATATACATGTATGTATATATATATGTATATATATATACATGTATGTATATATATATTTATATATATATACATGTATGTATATATATATTTATATATATATACATACATGTATGTGTATATATAGTAGCAATAGTTGCTACTATTTTTCTCTATTATGCGATAATAATTTTTAGTAATAAAATATTTATCTAAAGTACCTTTTAATAAGGAAAACAAAGAAAATATGCGTAGTCTGTATCTCAAAAACTAAAATAAAAATTATAGTAATCACACAAAAATAATTCTACGCTATTGAATATAACACATGTAGTTTAAATGTCAATCTTTCGCACGAACAACCTAGCTTTGATATCACTATTGGGAAATCTGGGGTAGCATCACATGCGTAGTGGAAATGCAAAAAATAAAAATCTCTAATTTTCACATAAAATAGTTTCTTATTGTCGTGCGAAGATTAATGCGTAAAAACTTGTAAAACTGAAAAACCTCATGTGTTAAGGGATGTGTATTACCTAGGGAGATTTTATATCCCTAAAATCTTGTAGATTTATGAGAGAGGATGAAGGAGGTCAATTATTCTCCTTTCTAGTGATGATCCACATGATAGTGATTGTGAAGACACTCCTCAAATCATTGTATAATCCTCCTTTCCACGTACACCACGCAATCAAGAAGGGACAAACCCTTCTTGTTGTCCACACGCCTCAAACTAGGGTTGTTGGCTGAGGATAAGAGGGAGAGAGGAGTATAGGAGGTGGTAGCTAAAAGGGGTCTAGCCTATGGTCATTTGGTTCCCTCCTATTTACAAAGGTCCCCTATCAACTTAACCATAATGGATCCTACCCTATTATGTATTGGATCTTCACCCAACTACTCAAGCCTCAATGTCCCATCCTTCTTCTTAATTAATAGCACTGGAACACCCCACGGTGAGATGCTGGGTCGAATGAAACCCTTATCTAACAACTCTTGTATTTGCTTCTTTTATTCCTCGAGCTCGAGTGGTGCCATTCTGTAGGGAGGCTTAGATATCGGGGCTGTCCCAGGGACTAAATCAATAACAAATTCACCTTCCCTGTTTGGAGGTTGTCCAAGCAAATTCTCTGGGAATACATTAGGGAACTCTTTAGCCATGGAAATTTCATTTATGTGAGTTTCTTGTTCTGAATGTTCCTTTACACATATAGCATAACAAAAACATCCCTTCTGCATAAGGCATTGAGTTTGAAGTGCTGATATTAAGCAAAGAGGCAAATCATGCCTAATACCCTCAAAGTAGAAGATAGACAGATTTGGTATACAGAAAGTAATTATTTTTGTATAGCAATCAATACTAGCATGATAAGAAGATAACCAATCCATGCCCAGTATAATATCAAAACCTTCGATTTCTAGAAGTATCAAATCGGCAAGGAGTTCATGTTCTCCGATAAAAATCAAACAAGATGGATAAACCAAATTTGTAGTCAAGGAATCCCCAATAGCAGTAGTTATGTGTAGCAAATAATCCAGTGGTTTAGGTTGAACGCCCAAGTGACAAGCAAAATATTG